CGGTTGTTACGCCACTGGGCTTACCTGAACTCACTGAAGCAAGCATTTTAAACAGCGAGAAGTACACAGCAAATGAACAATGAATCTGGGTAAAAAAAAAAGTTGATTTCTTTTTATTCTGTCTTTACAATATGTAGTTCTGTTTCCACTAAAGGAAAGATAAAACCAAAATCCAAGTTAAATAAAAGTAACATTTTATTTCAACACAAGTTACATACAGTACATCAACCTTCATGTGGGCCCATATCAAAACTGGAACGTTTTCATTTTGTTGCCAGAGGTCTGCTGCTCTGGCAGTGAAGAGGATACCTAGAGCATTCAGATTTTTCCTGTGCAGATCAAGGTAAATGACACTTCATTTTACATGGAGGCAAGGCATATTAAAAAAAAAAAAGCTTGTTCTGCAAGGTGAAGTCATAAAAATTACTACACAAGGCCAGCAAATCACTAAAAACAGGGAGAGGTAGTAATAGTAAACGTCAGCAGGCCAGATACAGCCCAACTACAATTTTTTATTGTGGAAACAGCAGTCACTTTCAGGTCGTCATTGAATTGGATTTCCATTTCCTGTCCTAGTGATAACTTAAGGGTGAGTTAAAATGATCTCATTAAGGAAATCTCCCTAGTGATGACGACAGCAATACAATCCTTACAGAATTCAAAAATAATATATGCTATTTGTAAAGTGAAATGCCTGAGTGATCAGCCACAAAAATATCCATACAAACCCAAAGTAGGTCTAAAAGGCACTCACGGGTCTTGCAGAGGAGATGCGTCAAAGCATTCACATTATACCGTCAACGCTTTGCTGGAGCTCGGCCTAGCTTTATGGCGATGAAGATAAACTGAGCTCAGTCGAAACGTTGATAAACGTGGATGCTTTGGATTCCTCTCCTCTGCAAGACACACGAGTGCCTTCAGACCTACCTGGAATATATATATTTTTTACTTTAAAAGGTGGAGGTAGGGAATCATGCTAGCAAAAGTATTTAAGACCACATTTATACGTTCGTGATTAGCTCACATGTAACATTCTACAAAAGCTGACTGAGAAAACAGTGCTAAATGGCCAATAGAACTGAAGCTACATGCTGAAAAGCATAGTCATTGCTTGTTGGTCAAACAAGTGCATTAACTATAATGACAAGTTTGTGTATTGACAGAAAAAAAAAAAAAAAAAAAGTAGATTGGCATGGTCATTTTAATGAAAAGTCAGAAATTCAACTCCTCCAGACAGGCCACCATTTGCTCCCAATAACTCTTTCACATGGTCTTGAATGTAAAATGTTATGATACCCTGGGCCTTGTTCTACAAGGTTACAAGCCTCCCATCACAACCTGCTTGTTCATTAAAATGATGAAAATTGTGACGGCATGCATGCACATCAACTCTACCGAGCACAATTTTTAAGCATGCACATCTTTAATTTTGCCTTTAATGCAAATCACCTAAACATAGGCCAACAAGAAAAAAAGGCCTACCATCTTAATACAAAACTTGGTAGCCTTCAGACAGCAAAGGACTTAAGCAGTCAGGCTTCCATTGCTGTTTGAATATCCACTTGGGAGATTTGCCCACCTTGTGTCACTGGTACAGAAGATATCAGAAACAGTGGCGGAACTACCGCCAGGGCGTTAATGTCCAGCCGCCGGTTACCATC